ACTCTGCCACTCTTTTAACGATTAAAGCTTTCAATGTTTATGATATAGATAATTTTAATATTGATATATTTTTGTTTATGTGTTCCAAGGGTTTACTGCCGAAGTCCATGTCATGTAAATTTACATTCAATTTTGAAATACATTCTCATGAAACTCGTAATGCTGGTAATTTTCATTTTTCCTAAAATCCGTACAAATGTTTCAAAAAATACAAATTTTTTCAAAGGACCAATTTTATGGAAAAATATCCCGTTTAATATGGAAAACTCTAATTCAATGAATATTTTTAAACGATTGTATAAATCCCATCTGTTATCATTGTATTCAATCTCAAAATAAATGACGTCACTTTCCATTTAATGCACTTTGTAATGTATTCCCCCTCCCCTTCCCTTCTTCTTTCTTTTTTCCCCCTTTTTGTATTGGTGTTTAGGTTTTTCTCTGCTTTCCTTTTCTCAACAATACAGTGTATACTTTTTAAGGGGTTGACGTTCATAAGGCTACACTGTGAAAAATTTGGGCAATATTATTTCAACAATTTGCCCAACGTTGTGCCATAGTCAACCCAACCATCTATGGGGCAATATTTGCATAATTTTGTCGTATTTTGCCCAACAGCTGATCAAGATTTTCTCAACAAGTGGGCTACCGTAGTCGGGCAGTTGAAGGGTCATATCTTTGCCCAAATTTTGGTCAAAATACGAAACAATTATGCACGTGTGAAGTCGGGTACTCACGTTTACCAATACCACTGGGCAAAACATTGCCCAATAGATGGTTGGGTTGACTATGGCACAACGTTGGGCAAAGTGTTGAAATAATATTGCCCAAATTTTTCACAGTGTAATTGCCCTTTTTGTTAACCCCACATTCCCATAAAATGTTGTTTGCTCCTTCCCTTTGTATTTTTCTTGTTATCGATCTTTATCTGTATATCATGTTTGTATGTTTTAATGTTTTTATGGAGAATGAAATAAAAGAAATGAAATGAATTGACAATCCCCAAAATCACACGCGCATGGCCGGATATATAGCCTCTTAATAATTTATAGATTTTTTAATTTGTAATATATATTATGACGGTGTATATCAAAACAAGGTAATAAGGCCTAGAGTGAGGGTTCGGAGTAGTATTATCATTAGGCCCAGGGTTCAAGTACAAGGATGTCGGTTAATTAGTATTACATATTGACCACGGGGCAATGTCTCTAGAGCATGCATCGGACAATCCCCGCAATCAATCGCGCATGGCCGGATACAATTATATATAGAGCCTCTTAATAATGAATAGATTTTTTTTATTTGTAAATATTTTTTCTAAGTGTCGGGGGGGGGGGGGGGGGGGGAGGTAACATAGCTTGGACGGCTGTGTATATGCTGCCGGCTTAATAAAAAAAAAACATATCGATGTTCTAGGCCCATCAATCTTGTTGTCAAGTGTGTCACAGTTTTTATGTGTGAGTGTGTGTTCTTCTTTTTCATTAAACCAAACTTTCATTCCTATGTAGTATTGTCAGAAGTCCTTGATAATTAGCCTAATATTGAGTTATTCCATTGCATGGAGTTGCCATGTTTACAAGAAAGGGAAAATGAGAGGATTCAAGATGATCTAACAGGAAGAAGAAATAAATGCGCTTTGAGAGAGAAGTAACAAAGAGAGAGACAGAGAGAGAGAAATAGAAATATAGAGATGAAAAGAGAGAGAGAGAGAGAGAGAGAGAGAGAGAGAACGAGAATAAAGGGTGATCGATAGAGAGAGAGTAGGAGGACACTTTTTTTTTTTTACCTCGGAATTTGACAATTTGGTCACAAATGCCATTACGAGCTGCTACGAACGCCGTACGAACGATTTTCAGACAATGGAAATTCGGGAAGACAATAGAAAACGGGGAGATACGTACGAGATTATCGTTCGTACGAACCTTTGTGACCGTAGCATTAAGTATCCCAAAACCTAGGAAAGGTATTACGAAAATTTCAGAGCATTTGATCTTGCAAGTTGATGGTTGAAGAAAAGACTATGGGAGCGTCTTGAACTGGGAATGGGAAGAACATAATCTGGTACATCATGACAACTACGGATGCATTTTACAACACATGACACTGTCAAATAAATGAGACGATTATACAAGGGTGGTAAAGCTAGCTTCTCCAGACGTTGCTCGTATGTAAGAGTGTTAGAAATGTATATGGAAAACAAGAACGAGTAAATCGTCTTTGAATAGCCTCAAGAGCTAAGATATGGTTCTTTTGGTGTGGCAACCAAACTGGGATGTTGTGTTCAATGACAGGTCTACATATGGTACAGTAGATATAGATAGATTTTTTTATTGGTTTCCACAATATCTCATTTTACAAAAAGTGTAACAACATATTGAAAATGATTATAATACAATACCGGTACACACTATTCAGAATACTGCCCATTAAGTTGAACTTAAGAGATATAGTGGCGGAGCCTATGGAAAAGCAGAGCTTGTTGTGGATAGGCACATTAAACTACAAATGACATAATTAAGTAAAGTAAAGTTTATAAAATACAAATACACGCTAAAACAGGGAAAGGGAGATTACAGCGATACATGAACCGATACTCACAATAAACTACAAAAGACAAGGAAAAGGGAAGGGAATATATCTGCAGCTTATTGAAACAATATTACAATATAGCTGTTCTCGATATGAGTATATTATAAACATAGTTGGCATGGTCATACCGTTATTTACTCATTGTAATGAACAAAAGTATACAGCTTGGAGATAAGAATAGTCAGGAATCAGGATGGACAATATGTATTCAAATAATAACTTTTCAATTTTCCTCTGAATACATGTGCACTTACAGACCTTTTAATCACAGAATCGAGAGAATTCCAGAACTTAGGACCTGTATATATATTAAAGGCACACTGTCCTACTTGTAGCTAATTGCTCCCTCTATATAGAAAACTTCCCCAATCGGTGCCTGTTGGTCCCCCATGATCCTCTTTTTCTTATGTTAAATGAGAGCTGAGTTAATGAGATAGCCACCTGTCATAGAGACCTCGCTGGCTCGATGGGTGGTCTAATCCCTTTTGGCTGAAGTAGTAAAGCCTGCCTTTAAGGTATTTTGAGCGAAGCGTGTTCTCGTTCTAGGAAGGTGATAGGAAAACGCCTGTCGGGTAGGATATTCGTGGACTTGATTTATTTTCTTAAAGAGAAGGTTGAGTTCTGGGAAGAGGTGAAAAATAATTTGTGAGCGTTATCATTCTTATTATGGAAGTGTGGAAGAACATCAGATAAGACATGTTCCCTGCAAAGCATGGCTCTTTTCAAATGCCTTCATATTCTAAATATGTCATGTAACATCGTAAAAATCCGGGTAGGATTTTTACACCACGAGTTCGTGTAGTCCCATATACATTTTTCTGTGTACAGTGTTTGTAACTTTACCAAGACTTGGCCAAATTTCATATCATTTTGATGATTCCAGAACCTTGCAATACACACAAATTCTTGTATGCTAGATGATCAACCTTTTCTGGTCGATTCCACACCGTTTCTTTCACAACGCAATCGCATGACCAGAACTCAACTTCATCTTTAAGCAAATAAGATAGTGCTTGGGGCAGTTCATTATTATTCAGCTGAAACATGAGACACCCTATTAAATTGTAAATTTAAAATATCCCGAACTTTAAGTACTTTAGTATAGTTTAGTATAATCGTTTACAAAATTATCCTCATCTCAAGTGCCATCTTTGAAAAAATGTGTGGGTATAGGAGGATACCCCCCCCCCCCTCACTTTTTGTCAGATAAAAATAAATTATGAGTGCTAAACGGTAGAAAAAACAGACCTTCTGTTTCCTTGACTAGTCACCTATATTTCTTTTAACCGCTTAGAGGCATTATGCAATTTACGATATAGAAATATCTTATATTATTTTTTTTTCTTCAGGCCGTTCAAAGTGGGCCTCTTTTGACCCGGTATCGCTCGTAAGTTCACAAGGCCTCTATTCAGGCCTTTGTGGTATATTTATTTATTTATTTATTCAATTTTATTTAAAAACAGGGTAATCTTTTCAGTGACAGAGGCCTGCTTTACAAAAGAGCCCTGTACATACAAAGATTTACAAAAAATAGAATACATTGTAGAAAACAAATTATATAATATTATATAAACAACATACCATAAGCGAACTAAAACAATTTAAAAACTAGATCAAACTGAACATAAGGCCTGAAATATTAAACATTTAAGATATTATTGACACAATACAAAATACATTTACAAATACACATGCCATAAAGAACAGACATAAAATCAAAAGGGTACAAGGTAAGAAATAAAACGACTACAGACTACACAATTACAAACAAACAAAACTAACTGTAATCAGTCATGATAAAACATTAGGTACCAGTGCATGCATTAAAGTGGAGGGAGTGATTTAATTTGGTTTTTGAACATTTGGAGTGAAGTTGCCGTGCGAATATTCAATGACAGATCAATTGATTAGTGTATGTCTGTATTCCTATTTGTCAGTATTTTATGATATTGGTATGCGGGTTCAAATTCATCTCGGTCTCTCGTATTGACTATACATTTATTTTTTACAGGGGTGAAATTAAGATATCATCTTATTTAATAACGGATTAATCTTTTGGATTAACATCGAGCCCTCAAGCCTCAATGACACTCACCTACTCCCCTTACCCCCCCCCCCCCCCTGTCCACCTTCTCAAAGACCTGATTTCAAAGGCTGATGTTGTATTCAAATAGCAGACATGAAAATTGATCGTCCGGTAAAAGAAAAATATGTGCAGCAATAGCAATAGCTAAGAAGATGATATGAATGAAAAAATGAAATTGAAAGAAAACTAAAACCCTGGGAATTTCTTTTAATTCGTTTGGGAAAAACGTTTGGGGGTCGACCCCCCCCCCCCCGAAACGAAATATCGATCGGCCAATTTTTCAAATTTCGGGAGAAAAAAAGTACTCTTAAGGAGACACGAACGAACGAACTCTGCCTTTAAAACCAAAATTCACCCCTAAACTTATAACCATACATTCTTGAAAAAAAAAAAGCCCGGAGCAATTGTCGCCGGAACAAAATAATGTCGAAACACCATCGAGGTGCTCCGGCGGAGTGAAGGAGTGGTTCCCTATTTCAAGATATTAATACCGGGCCTACAAATCGAAAATAGCGGTGCAGGATTCTACTACAATGAATTCGATGCCGAATCCAGTCACTCCGCGATTGGTGAACTGGACTGCGACAATGGGAATTGCTCTATTTTCGGACATGCAGTGTATCGGAGAACCACCGGTCGTAGTTCGGACGTGAGGGGAGGCATTCCCTTTGCAAGGCTGCTGTATCACGATCTGCTGGCAGTCTGGATGGATCTGAAATTAAAAACAATGAAGGCTCGTTCAAATATGCCGCGGTAAACGACAGCAAAAAAAAAACCGCCAATATGTGTAAATAAATGGCAGCTATAATTATAGCGTGTAACAAGTTCATACGCGTATCCAGTTCATAGATGGCATTATGGTACAAAATGTCCTCAGATCTTATAAATTTGACGAAGCCCCCGCCCCCCCCCCCCCCCCACTCCGGGGTCGAAATGACCGCATGCGTGTTACCAAAATGTCCGATAAAGGGGTACTTTTCGTGCGACAAAGTCCGGCCCGAGAATTGTAAAAAAAAGGGGTGTATTTGACTTTTCACCCGGAGATTTCTTTAAAAAGGGGGTGTTTTTCTTTTCCTCTCTCGATTCTTTGGAATCCTGATAAATTGTTCCGAATTTAGGGGGGTACATTGAGCATTTTTCCGTATTTAGGGGGTCTCCAAGGCAGGCAAATCCCGCAAAAAGCCCGCGAAAGGGTGGGGGGTTCGGAAATGTTGGCAGTCCTCAGATAGGGGGTGCGAGCATACGCGTACCCTAAATAGAACTGAGTGGGGGGGGGGGGGGGAGCGGGACGAAGCCCCACTCTGTGCAGTTTAGAATAATCACTGCCAAAGTCATGGAGGTGCTTCATGGTCTATCTGTACAAATGGTATAAAGATGCCGCCGGGCAAAATTGATGAAAAAAGAGAGAAAGACAGAGATAGGCAGACGAATGAAAGAAATTGGGGCCCGGAGAGAGGTGGGGGAGAGGGGCAATACAGCTTCTAATTAGGAATGTTTAATGTAATAAATCTGTCTTTGGGGTCTTAATCAATATTGCGAATAGAAAGTAAGCTTTAATTTGTTGTTTGTTCCACTGAGACGATGTTAGGCTGATCTACCGTGCTGACCACATCTACATGTATTAAGGTTTGCAAAATGTTCTTCTTGAAGAATACCCATACCAGATGTTTTGTTATGTCTACATTGCCATAATAAGGAGAAGAGCTGAAAGGCTATAAATTTGGCATACCTGAACTATTTGAACCACGTTGTTGTCGGTATTCATGGCAAACACAAGGAGACTTTGAATATCATGTGCTGGACAGATCTTGGTGCCTTGGACTTGCCTTTTTCGTCTTGAATGTTGTATTTCGGCCTCGTAATCGATTGCTTGGAACATCTCGCCATATTTGCAGGCGATGGCTTTCTTTTGATCGTCGGTAAAGCCTGTGACAATAGGCTCAGTACGCATGTACAATGCTGTTGTATTGCTGCTCAGGTCTTCAATCACGCCCGATAGTTTTGCTTGCTTGATCTGTATTTTCTGTTTTTTTGTCAAAGCGATATTACGAGCTGATAGGCATTTTAAGGGCCCTAGACCGGAATAAGGAATGAACTCTGGCACGTCCTGGGCCGTAGTCAAGTTGGGCACGGTAGTTACGACGACAAAGACGACGATGCACAAAGAAATCAAACAATATTTGGAAACCCCTTCCATTTCTAACCAAGATCTCAATCTCACAGTGGCAACTTGAAGAACGAGGAAAACGAATGAAGCTTGGATCCGTTATGACATTCACGTCATGCAAGTAAACTCGCACTGGCTTCGGTCACGACGTAATGTAATGTGCCGTCACTTTATAGTTATCAGGGGCGCCGATTTCTTTTCATGACAGGGGGGAGGGACGAAATGCGAGGGAAAATCTGTATTCCGCTGGTATCACGGTGATAACAACGGAGTACAGATTTTCTACAATATGTACTTGTACATTTTGAAGGATATTTGTCGGGGGGGGGGTACTGGCATATTAAGACAAACAGGTGTGTGCCGCTCTATTGGGTCACTTTTTCACACAAAATCCCTAAACATTAGTCCCATTTTTAACAAAACACCATTAAAAATGGGTCTGTTTTTTCAAAATTGTCAAAAATTTCCCCAAATTTTCGGGTATTTTCTTCTTGTGTGCACTTTTTCAAAATTTCCGGGAGGAATGATCCCCCCTTAAAAAAAACTTGAGGGGGGACGTGTCCCCCCCCCCCCTTCCCCCGGGATCGCCGCCCATGATAATTATGGTTGGTTATTGGGGGGGGGGTCCCAAATATAGATTGATGATTCATAGCCTATGTCGCAAGGAGAATGAAAAAAAAACCGTTGATCATTGAAATCACTAGAGCGATTTGTTGTTATATGATAAGTTGTATGTGCCTTGCCTCGTTTGCTTTGTCACGTGTGGTTGCATGGTTTGGGTTTGCAAAGTGGGAAAATGGTACATTTTGAGCAATAATAATTACTAGTAAATGAAAATATTTTTATCAAAGCAAGAGGGTGAAAACGGAATAGAAACCCTTTTATAACACATACTGCCAGCAGATCGTGATACAGCAGCCTTGCAATGTGAATGACTCCCCTCACGTCCAAGCTACGACCGACGGTTCTCCGATACACGGCATGCCCGAATATAGAACATGACGTCATTTTTTAAATTCCCATCCAACAATACCAAGTGTCTTCCCCAACCCCCCCCCCCCCCCCAAAAAAAAAAAAAAAAACAAACAAAACAAAACAACAACAACAAACATCTGAGATGTTGTTTGGCAATATCTTAAAAAAGTGATCATAATAGGTAATACTCGTATCTTATACTCGTATCTCATAATTGAATGTGCATTTCACCAGTATATAAGCTAAAACAAATAGGTTATGCTTGTTTTTGTAGTAGCATTTTTTAAATGTTACGTTGATGCGTTGATTTGGATGGGTGCAAAACAAAAGTAAAATATTAGTGATGAATATGAACATTTCGTCATTGACAAGATATAATCCGAATTCCTTTAAATTTATAAAAATGTATATTGTTACATAGTTGCATTTGATAAATGCAGCACATAAAAGATTTTGGTTTGGGGGCTAAAATGGTAACGGTACTAATGTCCTTTGGCAAGACATTAATCTACATTTGCCACACTCAAGGCACTCAATTAATCCAGGTGAGGTAATTGGGTACCTGGTAGGAATATTCCTTGAAACGCACTGAGCGCTGAAAACGGCTGCCGGGCTAAAGCTAGTGTAATAATTTCCAAAGCTCTTTGTATCACAATGTGTTATGCGCTAAACAAGAACGGAATGTATTACTAGATTTTTCCTTTCGAAATATGCATGATATATTGAACAACGTTCCAGTCTAAATTCTTTCTCATCACAATGGTTATTAAGACAATAAAAGGCAAGAATATTAAAAAGAAAAACACTTAGTCAGAAGAAATAACGATGACATTTTGTTTTTGTCTTTATTACAATCGGTGAAAAGCTCTTTTTCACACATTTACATTATGGTTACACTTTATAAATGCAGCAATGATATATTTATGTTTGTTTTGCAAACCGAAATGGTAACTAGGCATTAGAATAAATGCATGATATATTGAACAAGGATATCGGACAATCAATTACTCATCACAATGGTTTTAAGAAAATAAAAGTATATAAATGAGAAAAGCACTACCGTTGAAGCTTGGATAATTTCATTACGTGTTTGTTAGGTAGGACAAGCCAAAATGTTTTTTTCTAGCAACGATTAACATAATATAAAGTTTGCATTCTAGTATTGAAATATAATTGTTTGTAACAGGAGAATGAAATCATTTTTTACGATGCACTAACAAAGATGTGTGCATTAAACTTGATTACATCACGAAAATGGTCCATTACACTGAAAACAATTTAGTTAGCAACCACCTTCATAGAAAGACCACCTGCCGGTAAAGACAACACTTTCTGTTTCCCTCGAGGAGCAAAAGTCATTAAAACATTAAGGACTAAAAAAACCTCTTAATTAAAGGAACTCAAAACACAAAAGGAACCTATATAAATATATAAAGACCATCTACCAATAAACATTGCATTTCTTATCTCCCTGTGAGCATTCTTTATATGCAGGTCTCACTGTAAATGATAACAGTTCAATCAGGGGTATCGCTAGACCATTTAAGAGGTGGTCGGGTGGGGGGGGGGGGTGTTGATGAACCAAATGTGATGACATATTAGCTGGAAATTTTCCAAAGCACACAAAAGTTGCATGCTATTACAGCAGGCGTGGACCAAGGGGGGTCAAGCCCCCCCCCCCCCCCCCCCCGACAAACAAAAAAGAGAGAGAGAAGGAAAAGAAGGATAAGGGAAGAGGAGAGAAAGAGAAAGAAAGAAGAGGAAGAAGAAAAGAAAAGGGGGAAATTAAGAAGAGCGGGGGGCGTAAGGGCCTTGCCTCCCAGGGTGTTGCCTTCTCTCTCCCCCCCCCCCCCCCCCCCCTCAGCAACAAAAAAAAGAGGAGATAAAGGGAAGGGAAAACAGAGTCAGAAGAAACATTTGTAAAAGTGATATAAACAACCCTTTTTTTCACTCTGGTTCTAAAGGGTATAAAACACAATTTGTCATCGTTATCATATTACAGGTCAATATAGTCTACTTTTTGAAACGTAATCCCGAGCCCGCCATCTTTATTATATCACGTACGACAATGATTTGTTTTCACACATAAAATAATAGGCTGATCATATTGAAAATGGTTATTGATTTACAGTATCTGGCAATCTGAGATACATAACTATTTGATATGATCCCCGAGGAATAATGGCCTGCTGCAAGAGCCGACGTAGGATGATAAGGATTCACAAAATACAGTGTTTAAGGCGGGTTTCGAGGGAGTTGGTGTATATGACCATAATGACACCCACAGAAACTAACCATATTCATTACAGAACAAAACATGAAGAAGGAGCCCCTCGACTCCATATTGTAAATATACATTTTCTTTCAGAATTTAGAAACTTTAGCAATGATAATGCTCTGTATGGACTCAAAATTCTCAGAAAGTTCTTCCGGAGGGAAAGAAACCCTGGTGAAAGTCCCCCTAAGGCGGGCCCCTAAATGTTATCTGCCCATTTTATAATGACTCAAATCCCCGAGGTTTCATGAGGCTCAGCCCCCCTAGACCCCACGCCAATCAGTGACCTGCTAGTGTCATGAATAAGGTATCAAAGTATGCTCATCTGCCCATATCCCAGAGCTTCCAGGGGCTCCGCCCCTTGAGCCACGCCGGGGCCTTGCCCCTTGACCCCACGCCAATTTACGCTATGCTTTACCTAATCGCAATTATTTTAGCCTCCCCTTACCCACTTTGAAAAACGTTTAGTGGGGCCTGCATGTAAGAGAGGTGGTGATGAAGATTTTTTTAGTCTGCCCTCCCACCCCCCCCCCCCCCCTTATGTTTTTGTTCATTACACCACTGCTGGTCACCATTATGTACCAATATTATTTTGGAGTTCAAATTTGCCCCCCCCCCCTAAGAAATCCTGTATTACAGTGTTGAGTATCAGACACTATCTCAATCATTCAGATTTCAAACCATTCTGCAATTCAGTATTATATTGATATTTATTGTATTTATTACTGTATATCAGCAATTTAGTTTTCAATTCACACAAGTTATATACTGATACAATGGCAAGTATCAGCTAATATATTTCATTCGCTAAGATTTCAGATAATGTTTTCCTTCCATCTCGTATATTTCTTATTTCAGTATTAAACACATGCATCGTACAAGTACATAGGTACAAAATATAATTATACTCGTGATATATAGCCTTTTTACTCTAAAGGAAATTGAAAGAAAAAGAAGAAGACTTTAGAAAGATGGTAATATTATACATGTATGATAAACAAGATGAAGAATACGACTGCTTTCTAACATGCCTCCGACCTCCATGCACTATTTCCAATTTCTACTACATACTGTATAATTCTCAGGACTTTGTATTTCCCAGAAAACTATATCCTGTCTCCAAACTCAGCTTATTTTACCTCCCCCATGATGCTGCACACTTATAGAGCAATTCACGGTTAGCACATGGCTGCAATGACCCTGAATATCCACAGATCTTCAAAACATGAAGAGGTCCCACTTTGTATATTTTGAAATAATCACTCCTACAGCGATGGAGATGCTACATACTTAGCCTTTGTTTCCCTTTTCAAAGAATACTTCAACCTGTGTATCATGGAGTGCTCTTCTTGTGCATAAATGAATAATGATTACATAACTTTCATGAGCACGTACCCAGTATTTTGTCTCTGTGTATTTCATAATTTGTTCTACAATGACCTTTATCTGCTCATGCTCAGACTGCAACCGTGAACTGGCTTATTGATTTACCTCCATCCATGATTTTCATATGAGACTGTGATTCACGTACTTGACCAAAGACTCGTAATTACCACTGATTGACCTCTGTCTTGAGGACCTTTGGCCTATGACCTACTTACCCCCAAGGTCCTATAGTGGTAGTTCATCTCCTATGATACATAATGGTAACATGTTTGAAGTTCATTGCTCAAAGAGTCCTTGAAATATTGAGATTAATGAGGCTAAAACATACAATTTTCCAGGGAGTATTTCATAAAGTCTAAGAACGACTTAAGTTTGACTTAATTATGGCAGACCGTTCATGCCATTGTGTTCTCTCACCATTTACTGGCATTGGTCCCAGAAGGGAAGTACAAATCATGGTCACAAATCTACAGAAGTTACATTTT